GTATGCGGGTGGAACAGGTCCTCAGTATCCCTTCCTTCTCTCCCCGTGCAGTATACGGGTCGAATAAGTCCTTAGTACCCCTCCCTTCTCTCCCGGTGCAGTATAGGGATGGAATAGGTCCTCAGTGCCCCTTCCTTCTCCCCCCCCCCCGTGCAGTGTAGGGGTGGAATAGGTCCTCAGTACCCCTTCCTTCTCTCCCCGTGTAGTATACGGGTGGAATAGGTCCTCAGTACCCCTTCCTTCTCCCCCCGTGCAGTATAGGGGTGGCATAGGTCCTCAGTACCCCTTCCTTCTCTCCCCCTGACGTATAGGGGTGGAATAGGTCCTCAGTACCCCTTCCTTCTCTATCCGTGCAGTATGCGGGTGGAACAGGTCCTCAGTATCCCTTCCTTCTCTCCCCGTGCAGTATACGGGTCGAATAGGTCCTTAGTACCCCTCCCTTCTCTCCCGGTGCAGTATAGGGATGGAATAGGTCCTCAGTGCCCCTTCCTTCTCCCCCCGTGCAGTATAGGGGTGGAATAGGTCCTCAGTACCCCTTCCTTCTCTCCCCGTGTAGTATACGGGTGGAATAGGTCCTCAGTACCCCTTCCTTCTCCCCCCGTGCAGTATAGGGGTGGCAGAGGTCCTCAGTACCCCTTCCTTCTCTCCCCGTGCAGTATAGGGGTGGCATAGGTCCTCAGTACCCCTTCCTTCTCTCCCCGTGTAGTATACGGGTGGAATAGGTCCTCAGTACCCATTCCTTCTCCCCCCGTGCAGTATAGGGGTGGCATAGGTCCTCAGTACCCCTTCCTTCTCTCCCTGTGCAGTATTCGGGTGGAATAGGTCCTTAGTACCCCTTCTTTCTCCCCCCGTGTAGTATACGGGTGGAATAGGTCATTGGTACCCCTTCCTTCTCTCCCCGTGCAGTATACGGGTGGAATAGGTCCTCAGTACCCCTTCCTTCTCCTCCCGTGTAGTATAGGGGTGGAATAGGTCCTCAGTACCCCTTCCTTCTCTCCCCGTGCAGTATACGGGTGGAATAGGTCCTCAGTACCCCTTCCTTCTCTCCCCGTGTAGTATACGGGTAGAATAGGTCCTCAGTACCCCTTCCTTCTCTCCCCGTGTAGTATACGGGTGGAATAGGTCCTCAGTACCCCTTCCTTCTCTCCCCGTGTAGTATACGCGGGTGGAATAGGTCCTCAGTACCCCTTCCTTCTCTCCCCGTGTAGTATACGCGGGTGGACTAGGTCCTCAGTACCCCTTCCTTCTCCCCCCGTGTAGTATACATGTACGCGGGTGGACTAGGTCCTCTGTACCCCTTCCTTCTCCCCCCGTGTAGTATACGGGTGGAATAGGTCCTCAGTACCCCTTCCTTCTCCCCCCGTGCAGTATAGGGGTGGCATAGGTCCTCAGTACCCCTTCCTTCTCTCCCCGTGCAGTATAGGGGTGGCATAGGTCCTCAGTACCCCTTCCTTCTCTCCCCGTGTAGTATACGGGTGGAATAGGTCCTCAGTACCCCTTCCTTCTCCCCCCGTGCAGTATAGGGGTGGCATAGGTCCTCAGTACCCCTTCCTTCTCTCCCCCTGACGTATAGGGGTGGAATAGGTCCTCAGTACCCCTTCCTTCTCTATCCGTGCAGTATGCGGGTGGAACAGGTCCTCAGTATCCCTTCCTTCTCTCCCCGTGCAGTATACGGGTCGAATAGGTCCTTAGTACCCCTCCCTTCTCTCCCGGTGCAGTATAGGGATGGAATAGGTCCTCAGTGCCCCTTCCTTCTCCCCCCGTGCAGTATAGGGGTGGAATAGGTCCTCAGTACCCCTTCCTTCTCTCCCCGTGTAGTATACGGGTGGAATAGGTCCTCAGTACCCCTTCCTTCTCCCCCCGTGCAGTATAGGGGTGGAATAGGTCCTCAGTACCCCTTCCTTCTCTCCCCGTGTAGTATACGCGGGTGGACTAGGTCCTCAGTACCCCTTCCTTCTCCCCCCGTGTAGTATACGGGTGGAATAGGTCCTCAGTACCCCTTCCTTCTCCCCCCGTGCAGTATAGGGGTGGCATAGGTCCTCAGTACCCCTTCCTTCTCTCCCCGTGCAGTATAGGGGTGGCATAGGTCCTCAGTACCCCTTCCTTCTCTCCCCGTGTAGTATACGGGTGGAATAGGTCCTCAGTACCCCTTCCTTCTCCCCCCGTGCAGTATAGGGGTGGCATAGGTCCTCAGTACCCCTTCCTTCTCTCCCCCTGACGTATAGGGGTGGAATAGGTCCTCAGTACCCCTTCCTTCTCTATCCGTGCAGTATGCGGGTGGAACAGGTCCTCAGTATCCCTTCCTTCTCTCCCCGTGCAGTATACGGGTCGAATAGGTCCTTAGTACCCCTCCCTTCTCTCCCGGTGCAGTATAGGGATGGAATAGGTCCTCAGTGCCCCTTCCTTCTCCCCCCGTGCAGTATAGGGGTGGAATAGGTCCTCAGTACCCCTTCCTTCTCTCCCCGTGTAGTATACGGGTGGAATAGGTCCTCAGTACCCCTTCCTTCTCCCCCCGTGCAGTATAGGGGTGGCATAGGTCCTCAGTACCCCTTCCTTCTCTCCCCGTGCAGTATAGGGGTGGCATAGGTCCTCAGTACCCCTTCCTTCTCTCCCCGTGTAGTATACGGGTGGAATAGGTCCTCAGTACCCCTTCCTTCTCCCCCCGTGCAGTATAGGGGTGGCATAGGTCCTCAGTACCCCTTCCTTCTCTCCCTGTGCAGTATTCGGGTGGAATAGGTCCTTAGTACCCCTTCTTTCTCCCCCCGTGTAGTATACGGGTGGAATAGGTCATTGGTACCCCTTCCTTCTCTCCCCGTGCAGTATACGGGTGGAATAGGTCCTCAGTACCCCTTCCTTCTCCCCCCGTGTAGTATAGGGGTGGAATAGGTCCTCAGTACCCCTTCCTTCTATCCCCGTGCAGTATACGGGTGGAATAGGTCCTCAGTACCCCTTCCTTCTCTCCCCGTGTAGTATACGGGTAGAATCGGTCCTCAGTACCCCTTCCTTCTCTCCCCGTGTAGTATACGGGTGGAATAGGTCCTCAGTACCCCTTCCTTCTCTCCCCGTGTAGTATACGCGGGTGGAATAGGTCCTCAGTACCCCTTCCTTCTCTCCCCGTGTAGTATACGGGTGGAATAGGTCCTCAGTACCCCTTCCTTCTCTCCCCGTGTAGTATACGCGGGTGGAATCGGTCCTCAGTACCCCTTCCTTCTCTCCCCGTGTAGTATACGCGGGTGGACTAGGTCCTCAGTACCCCTTCCTTCTCCCCCCGTGTAGTATACATGTACGCGGGTGGACTAGGTCCTCTGTACCCCTACCTTCTCCCCCCGTGTAGTATACGGGTGGAATAGGTCCTCAGTACCCCTTCCTTCTCTCCCCGTGTAGTATACGCGGGTGGAATCGGTCCTCAGTACCCCTTCCTTCTCTCCCCGTGTAGTATACGCGGGTGGACTAGGTCCTCAGTACCCCTTCCTTCTCCCCCCGTGTAGTATACATGTACGCGGGTGGACTAGGTCCTCTGTACCCCTACCTTCTCCCCCCGTGTAGTATACGGGTGGAATAGGTCCTCAGTACCCCTTCTTTCTCCCCCCGTGTAGTATACGGGTGGAATAGGTCCTCAGTACCCCTTCCTTTTCTCCCCATACCCCTGTCTCTGATATGTCATTATTCCTTTTCATGATATCAGTTGAGAATTACTGATATCAATATTAATAAAACATATCACGAATACAATTAAGTAAAAATGGTTTGCCATTAATCCCCGCTGTTATATAGCTGTAATATTCATAACCATGGATAAACTCCCTATCTTTAAGCTAAATATTTCCATTTCAAAACAATACCGTCCATAATCCATTTCTAATTAAAATTCTCTGCAGACAGGTCCCTATACAGAAGTGCACAAAGAATAAATTAGAGATTGGTAAAATCCGTGAGACTAATTTGCTAGTTTAAATAATAAGTAAATAATAGAGCTAAAAATGAAATGCCTGTTTTAAAATACCCGTTTCCATGTGACCATGGCGAAAACGATTCTTTTATTTTCATTCCGAACAGATGAAACAGACGAGTGTTATACGTACACTAGTTCGGGGCCGTAATAAATTTGCCTCCCATATTTGGCACTCACTGCTGAGCCCCGAACAATGCATAGTTAGCAGACACTCAGTTGTCTGCTGTCGGCTGTCATTCGAAGTTGGACTTATCGTGACTGCTAGAAAAGGTGACAATCAATATTTTTCATAGCTGAAATGCAATTTAGATAATCGTTAAGACTATGTATCGTAAATGTTCACTTTATGAAAAATAGGTTGGCATGTTTCCCACAAATTAACCAAATATCGAGTCTAGATACAGGCTATCAACCGCGTTGTTCCCATCAGCATCGGTCGGCGTATGAAGAAATTCTCGCCGCTTTTAATGAGAGTTTGTACATGATATAATAAGCTAGGTATTGTGTGAATTTGTTACCACGAACATAGTCTTTGTCAGTACCAAGCATGTGCCAGTTAGAGATACAATGTTGAATGTTTGATTGATTCATCGCATAATCAGCAGAACACATTTCCTCCATTCGACCTTGTAGAGCTTTCTCGCTTGGAGTTTAACAAAGCATGCATTCGTCGTTAGAGACGCATGGAAACCCGAATGACTTGGGGTAGCTTTTTAATCGTATCTGCCCTGTCTGTATTCACAGTGACCCATTTAATTCATAAATACCACCAAAGATATGTTGTTTGACAGGTGAGAGCGACAAAGGCGAGCTGACATTTGACGATATCAGAAATGCTATTTACCTACAGCCACTAAGCATTGCGTGAAGTAATATTTCTGTGATCGAAGAAAAGCCAGCTTCATATTCTATCAATTATTTCTTTATAACCGTCTATGTTCATTAGTCATAGATAAATTATCAGATTCGTATAATAATATCTACCAACTAAGCATGAATGTCGTTATGATGTCAAGGTCAGATTTGTTTTTAGGAGAATATCTTCTCAAGGTCGTTTCCGTGCACGTGGTGACATTGTGGCTGTAAGGGCATGTTATATCATCAAGCAATATTTATTTTACGTATTTTGATCTGCTAATTACCTTTAAGACAAATCTCCAAATAATCGACGACGACTTCTAATTGATCTGTCAAAAGGAGCCAATGGCATCGAAAGGGAATAGCCAGGTAGTTATGACAATCTCATCTGTAAATGTTAGGCAACTTTGTTGACAGAGGTCGTGTTTGTACTTGGGACAAGGCTAAGGTCAATCGGGATGTTGTCAGTCGTGGCAACCTGCTTTTGTTTGTCTGTCATCTCAGATTTAATGTTACACACCAATAAAGCACTTGATGATACCAAATCGAAATCACAGTCAGTGCAGCATCAGATCACCATCACTCTCTGGCTATTATCAGTTTGACAATCATTACGTCGATGGTAATAATTATTGCAACATCTTGTGGATGTGGCTGCCATATTTCATAACTCATAACTCATAACTCAAAAAATATAGTTTGTAGCCCAAGATGTATTACCTGTATTCAATACATGTAGGAAGTATTAGATTAAGACCACATGGAACACTGACATATTGATTCCACAAGTTTACAACAATTCAGGGATAATTCTAGTAGGGCAGGGACGAGTCCAAATTTACAACCCGGGTACCGACCCTACCTGTGTACCCACTGTAAGTCTCTAAAGTTAGGTACAAAATGTCTGAGTGGGATAAGTTTGACCATAGGCTTGGCACAATGTATTTTGATACATGTATGTATAAAACAATCTGGGGGTGGGGCCTTGTGCTTTTAGCCCCTAAATTTGAAAAAAGTACCACATTTTCAAATATAATGGGGCATTTTAACATTGTGCTGTATGGGCAAGTGTGGGTGTATCTCTGGAATATTTGAAATGTCAGAAAATTACTAGAGTGAACCCTGACAACTGTGTACACGGAGGCCTCAGAATCGAGGACTCTGGATTGGCCTTATGCAGACTTGTTGGTCTTGTGCTGGGGTGGAAAAGCCGAGTGTTATAGCTATTATATATATGCACATTAATCATGTTAACATCTTTTTGGTATGATACTACAAATGACAAAAAAAAGTAATGAAATGTTTTGAAGAGGATATGTAGAAACTCTTCACCCTTGTTAGTTATAGTAGCAATGCCCTGAGGTTTAGACTGAGAAGTTAGTGAACAATGTATAAAATGTTCCATGCTTCACTTCAGGGGTAGAAACTAACATATTTAGTCCACTAGTCCGTATAATTATAACATATAGCAAAACCTTTAAAAATGGCAAATTTCAACTTGTCCTTATGATACCTTAACTATTGGGCAGTTTGGCAAGGACAACAAGACTAATGCCAATTTCTAACGTTGCACTTGATTCAATCGGGCACAGGTGGCCCAGTTGTCTAAAGCGCCGCGATTCGTTGTGCAGAGTTGCGTCCCTTGGGCACGACAGAAATCTATGATTGTGGGTTTGAATCCCAGTTCGCCCCGATTATGTTTCAAAATTTGTCAGCACCATATCCATGCTTGTGGGTTTCACCCAAGTGGTAAACGTCTGAGACCTGCATCACTTCAGGCTTTCCTCCCACATTAAGCTGACACGCCGTGATATAACTGGAATACTGTTAAAAGCGGCGTTACTGCCAGGGTCCATGCAGGAAGCAAAGGGACTGTAAGTCCCCATGGTCCCTGGTATGGTGATCTCCCTTTAGTTACTGACGATCTCTAGCCCATTTTTATATTGTGTTGTTCCTTAACCCTTTCGCCCCGACTGCCCGATTTATCGGGCAGGATAAACCGTGTCCCAGGACCCGGCTGCCCGAAAAATCGGGCAGCATAAGCCGAGGCCCAGAACCCGGCTGCCCGATAAATCGGGCGGCGCGAGCGTGTTTACAAAATCGCTCTTTCTACTTCCTTTCTCGTGTGTAATCTCGTTCTAAATATGGAAACGAGATCTACACGTATTGACACGTCATTCGATGGAATTTCCCCGTCTTTTTGGCGCGAAAATCGCGGGTATGTCACCTGTTTTCGCGACAGGTATTTTTCTCGCTTGAATCGTAAATCAAGCGTAATGGCGGCCAACTACGATTCGGATAGCGATCAGATGATTAACAACGACTATATCGGGAATAATAATGTGTTTGAATTGAATAATTTACGCGAAGGGGAGAGGGAATTTCGCGAATATTTTCGTGAAGATTTTGACGGTTTCGACGAGGTGTCCCCCCCCCCCCCGCCAACTTTCGAGAATGGGAGTGGCAGAGGGACACACGACAGTGGAGACATGAGGGATTTTGAAGAGGCGACCGGATTCAAGAATATATATTGACACGGTGAGTGAAGAGTCGTGCTATTGATTTTTTCCAACTGTTTTACAATGATTCTGTGTTTGAACAGATTATCAGTGCGACGAATGAGAATGCAGCCTACACGTGAACGAGCGATCACAACAACAACAAAGGTGAGTGGCATGACGTATCTGTTTGTTTTTTTTAAAATTTATTTTTCTGATCGCAATCCGAATTGTAGTTTGCCGGTTTGTCGTATGTCCTTATATTTCGCTCAATTTGAATAAAATTTATTTCCATATTCATGTTTGTTTTCTTGTTTTTTACATCTTAATTTAAATTTTAGTAACTGTAATGATTATTTATTTATTAATTGATTTAATAAAGTACTGATTTAATTTATTATGCAATTGTAAATAGCAGTGTATTGTAAATATGTTATCACAACTTGTATATTTGCAGAACTTGAATTTACGATCTTTCCGTCCTTTTACAATGTTTCCCTCTTCAGGTCAATCTGTGTTATCTTCCCTGTGATGTCATTCTTATAGTAGCTGTGGTTCAATGTTCAGATAATGTGATAAATAACTTTTTAAAAACTTAAATACTTAATTTTTGTTTCAAATCCTGAAAAAGAACAAAATAAATCAAATATTTGTGTTTTTACCTGTGTTAACGAGTTTACCTGCGTTAACAAGTTTACCTGTGTTAACGAGTTTACCTAAGAGGCTGTAAGTGTATCATAAGTAATATGTGACATCAGTATAGAAAACAAAGTCAGTACCAAGAGTTGTAAACTTGTTTATTTGTTTACAGATGTGCATGAAGAGAATTTACCTGTAACACCTGGGATTACCTGTGCCGTCCAAGATGACAAGACCACTGTGTTATGTTTACCTTGTATCTGTGATTTATTTTTGTGATTTGTAATACAATTTGAGCCAAAATTCATTGTCTGTTTTCATTTTTTCAGTGTTTTCAAGTTTTATTTCACTTGTAAACACCTGTAATTAGAAAATAACAAAGGTTAGAGACAATAACAACAAAGAATGTTAAAGTATACTTAATCCTCTTTACAATGGTATATGATAAATGTATATTAAAAGCAAGTTTCTGGTAGAAAAAGTGCATCAAAAATGATAGTGTGATTTTCAAATAATACTGCCAGGGAGGCCAGTGTACAGGCCTTGTCAGTGTCAGGGACTGCAGGGTCTCAAGGGACATAACTCTGGGGCAGCCAGTGATGAAAGAGTTAATACTTAATGCTTTTAAATGTTCCGCAACTAGTTTTAAATCTTATCTGTGATATTCTAGTTATCATACTGTCCTTCAATGACAGATTTTTATAAAGTTTAAATATATGTATATTTCATGTATAACTTCTCGTCACGATATGGCTGAAATATTGCCGATGTGACGTAAAGCATTAACTCACTCACTCACTCACTCAAGGCGAATGCCATGTTTTTAATATTTTGGATTGAGAGAACAGAGATACTTTTTAAAAAAAGGGGCGGTCGGGTAGCCTAGTGGTTTAAGCGTTCGCTTGTCACGCCGAAGACCCGGGTTCGATTTCCGACATGGGTACAATGTGTGAAGCCCATTTCTGGTGTTCCCCGCCATGATATTGCTGGAATATTGCTAAAAGCGGCGTAAAACCATACTCACTCACTCACTTTTAAAAAAAAGTGTTCTTACACAGTGACAAGTCCGAAAGAACTTCAAGGCCCATTCTGCAATAGAAATGCACAGTTTTGGTCCAACAAAAAGCAAAACCTTTAAAAATAGCAAATTTCTACTAGTCCTCATGATACCGTAACTATTGGGCAGTTTGGCAAGGACTATAGATTTAGTGCCAATTTCTATCATTGCCTTGAACAACATCTTCCAACCAATCAGATTGCAGGACACGCTCCTATTCATTTTACAATAAAAAATCCTCATACATGACCTTATGAAAAGCTGCTAGTATCACTGCATCAAGTTGTCCGTTTCTGTCCGTCCTTGCCCGTCGTCTGAGGCGTCAAATTCGCTGTTCAGAGTTGCATCCCATTGGGCATGGCTGAAACCTATGACTGTGTTTTCGAATTCCAGAAACCTATGACTGTGTTTTTGAATTCCTGAAACCTATGACTGTGTTTTCAAATTCCCGAAACCTATGACTGTGTTTTCAAATTCCAGAAACCTATGACTGTGTTTTCAAATTCCAGAAACCTATGACTGTTTTTGAATTCCAGAAACCTGTCATTGTGTTTTCGAATTCCAGAAACCTATGACAGTGTTTTCAAATTCCAGAAACCTATGACTGTGTTTTCAAATTCCTGAAACCTATGACTGTGTTTTCAAATTCCAGAAACCTATGACTGTGTTTTCAAATTCCTGAAACCTATGACTGTGTTTTTGAATTCCAGAAACCTATGACTGTTTTTGAATTCCAGAAACCTGTCATTGTGTTTTCGAATTCCAGAAACCTGTCATTGTGTTTTTGAATTCCTGAAACCTATGACTGTGTTTCCAAATTCCTGAAACCTATGACTGTGTTTTCAAATTCCAGAAACCTATGACTGTGTTTTCAAATTCCAGAAACCTATAATTGTGGGTTTCAATCCCATTTTGCCCTGATATGTTTCTAGGTATGTCAACACCATACCCGTGCTCGTGGGTTTCACCAAAGTGGTAAACGTCAGACCTGCATCAGTTCAGGATTTCCTCCCACATTAAGCTGACAAGCAGTGATGTAACTGGGTCACTGTTCAAAGCAGAATTAAGCTCAATTAAATCACTCTGTCTTTTCTTTATTTTGTGGACCAACAATATTTGGTAATGTGCAGTATGTTCTAATGCAAGCAGTTCTTGTGACTGGCAGATGTAGACCACACAGGAAACACTGAGTAGTTCAATCGCCAAAGCTAATGCCACAGATTCGCCGCATGATGCTTCAAATCTTGCCAATACATTGATTGTTTATTTCTGCAGATGGCACAACAGTTAGCTAAGCCAGGAGCATCAGGCCTGTTGCCACGGATACCATCACGATCAGGCAAACTAGGAGCTGTAAGTACTTAGTTCATGACCTTGACCTCTTTGCTTCCCAGAGGAAGTTGCGTTCATGACATCCTTTTGTTTCCCCCACAGAGGAATTTGTGGCATTTTGTGTAATTAAGATTGATTTGAAGTGGAATCTGTCTGAACTGTACTTGGGGGTACGGGTGGCCCAGTCGTCTAAGGTGCAGCGATTCGCCGTGCAGAGTTGCGTCCCTTTGGCACGCCAGAAACCTGTGATTGTGGGTTCGAATCCCAGTTCGCCCCGATTATGTTTCTAGGTTTGTCAGCACCATACCCGTGCTCGTGGGTTTCACAGAAGTGGTAAACGTCTGAGACCTGCATCACTTCAGGCTTTCCTCCCAGATTAAGCTGACACGCCGCGATATAACTGGAATACTGTTAAAAGCGGCATTAAACCCAACTCAATCACTCACTCACACTGAACTGTACTTTAGTGTGACTGGGAATAAATGTCTGGTTAAGTCAGCTTTCGGGATCAGACAGAAATCTGATTTTAGCGAAGAGTTACATCACTTAGTATCTCTACTGAAATGAACCAACAAGATTGAAGATGTGTGTACATGTACAATAATATTTATTTCAATAAACAAATGCTGACTACAACTGAATGCTGAACCCGGAGCTCAAGATAAGATATGCAATATGATAGGGGTGAAACAATATGATACGTATCGCGATACATAGGTCATATGATATGTAATGCAATACACATATCTATGTCAAATCACCTGGAAACTTCTGGACAATAAATATTTCAGAACAGGTTCAAAAGGAAAAGCTAGCTGTCGACACATGTTCGTAATGGCTTTTTTTAGTAGCGAACTTGAAACACCAATTAAAAGACATTTTCCTATATCTGACTGATAAAAATGCCAGGGGTCATTAAGCGAGTAGTAAGTAATTAATTAAAGTAATATTATTGTAAACACAAATAATACATCAAGCATCAAGACTAAATAAAATGCTGTAAAATGCATTTGTTGAAACAGCATGGTTTGAAATTAAGGCTACTTCTGTGCATCTGTCAGTGTGGGTTACTACTGCAGTTAAATTAGTACTTTGAAAAAAACGGGCATAGGTTCCTCGCACCTGGCTGTCAGCCGGGTCTAGGAGCAATACTGCCATAAACCCCCCCAAAATTGAGTTTTTACTCTTGGGTTTCTATTTTAATTGGGTTATTATATTTGTCATTGGGTAACCAATATTTGTTTCACTCATCTATTCATAACTCTGTTGGGTTTTTCCCCAAAAGAGTGAACATTTTAAGATTTAAAAAAAATTAAATAATGTTTTAGATGTATATAACCATGATAACTGTTCTAAATATATAGGCTTGCCTCGGAAAGTAAATTACAGTAGAACATGGATATAACGAACTACAAGGGACCGGAGAAACCAGTTCCTTATATACGTTGTTCGTTATATACGTTTTTGCTCGGAAATGTCCGCCATCTTGGCCAAACCAAAACACAATACACACATACGCGTTTATACACGTTACCTCCCGCATCTACCGGTGATTCAGTTAAAAAGTACCCAATGATACATCTTCAAAACATTTTGATCCAATTGTAGGATCAATGTTTGTTTTACAGACAAGATTGGTCCAAATTACATGGACATGTAAGATTAACATAATGCAAGTTTAACAAGGTCAAATTGTCAGTGACACTTGACACTGAGTGATATTTCTCAGTTCACTATGTACGTGTCACTAATTACTGGTAGATGGGCCTTGTCGGTGATCAGATATCAGTTCACTATATCCTGTTAGCTGTAGAGAGATTGTTATGTACGTAAATTATATATTATAATATATTTGAGATAAATCGGGGGTTTTTTAACAGTGCGTTGTATGCGTTTGTTCGCTCTATCCGTGTTCTGCAGCTCTTAATTGTGTTTCGGTAGCTCTTTTCTACGCGTTGCTGAAAAAGCTTCATTGGGTATTTACGCGTGCTGTTCTTATACATTTGAGTTTTTCATTTAATGCATGCGTTTCTGTACGCAAGTTAATTGAAAGCAATTGGGTTTTGAATATTTTTTGGGGGTTTTTTTTAAGCAAATACGCTGCTTATCTGTAACTCTGCGAACGGACAAGCTGACTTGATAATATTGAAAAATATACTGTATTGATTCGCCTATCGCAGATGTTTTGTTCACCAACAAAAATAGATTTATAAGGTACTTTATTTGCCGGTCCACAGAGACTGGCAGTCCATGAATTAACGGACCAAGCCTAAGCTTCATAAGCTTACGGGTTATTACCAGTAAATAGAAACACTGATATCATATCTACGTGTTATGAACAATAATAAGGACATTAACATTCTCAGAATGACGCAAATTTTTATCTGAGCATTTCATTGGTCATTAGAAAGGCCATAAACCCATCAGAAAAAAGGATACAAACCAAACATATTTATGGTCCAGAAGTTAACTTAAAACTCGGAATAAGTTTTAAGTGAAAAGTGATTTTGTAAAACGAGTAAGACATCATGCCTTGGTAATGCACCCTAAGGGCCAACGATATCCAGTTTTGATGTGTCAGTGCTGCAGAAACACAGCCTAGATCTAACCCTGGGAAAGAATGCGAACTAAAAATTGAATAATTGATTGTTTTGAATACCTGTACATTTTGTACTGGCAGTATTTGTAAACAGGGAGACTCATCAGTCAGTCAGTCAGTTCGGTGTGGTGTGGTGTGGTGTGAGATAACGTCGGCCTGACATGTGTGTCAGGGCCCATACCATTGGTGATGTGGCCTTGCATTGCACGCAGTGACAACTTGACTTGGCATTCTACCATTGGGTCGACAGGTGCAGGAGGAGTGTTGTTAGATACTGGCCACTTGGGGAAGGTGCAATGATGAATGGAAGTGTGATGGATGGTTGTGTGATGGATGGTTCTGTGATGGATGGTTGTGTGATGGATGGGTGTGTGATGGGTAGGGCTGTTACGATTCACTCGCATATTCTGTGAATCGAACCGTATCCATTCATGAATTGAATTCGTTATTCGGGGTCACTAGAATCAAATATTCATGAATATGCAGTCATGTGCATTTACATACCCTGACCCTTAAAATATCGATAAGAACATGTTATAAGCATAGATTTCTTCAGTGACAGTATTTTAGTCACTGGTCATTGTCCCATTTGAGCAAACACTAGTACCTTGGTCAGTGAAGTATATTAAAGTATAATAAATAAATAATTAACAAACCATGTAAAATAATTTATTTTGTTCATGTTTCACTGAATATCATGAATAATACATCAACTGCTGACTTGTTATTATTCGTGAATAAATATTCGTATTCGTTACCCTACATTCATTATACGTATCATATTCGCCTTATAGTGTATTCTTTGCAGCCCTAGTGATGGGTGGTTGTGTGATGGATGGTAGTGTGATGGATGGTAGTGTGATGGATGGTTGTGTGATGGATGGTAGTGTGATGGATGGTTGTGTGATGGATGGTTGTGTGATGGGTGGTTGTGTGATGGATGGTTGTGTGATGGATGGTTGTGTGATGGATGGTAGTGTGATGGATGGTTGTGTGATGGATGGTTGTGTGATGGATGGTAGTGTGATGGATGGTTGTGTGATGGATGGTTGTGTATTGGATGGTTGTGTGATGGATGGTTGTGTGATGGATGGTTGTGTGATGGATTGTTGTGTGTTGGATGGTTGTGTGATGGGTGGTAGTGTGATGGATGGTTGTGTGATGGATGGTTGTGTGATGGATGGTTGTGTGATGGATGGTAGTGTGATGGATGGTTGTGTGATGGATGGTTGTGTGATGGATGGTTGTGTGATGGGTAGGGCTGTTACGATTCACTCGCGTATTCTGTGAATCGAACCGTATCCATTCATGAATTGAATTCGTTATTCGGGGTCACTAGAATCAAATATTCATGAATATGCAGTCATGTGCATTTACATACCCTGACCCTTAAAATATCGATAATAAACATGTTATATGCATAGATTTCTTCAGTGACAGTATTTTAGTCACTGGTCATTGTCCCATTTGAGCAAACACTAGTACCTTGGTCAGTGAAGTATATTAAAGTATAATAAATAAATAATTAACAAACCATGTAAAATAATTTATTTTGTTCATGTTTCACTGAATATCATGAATAATACATCAACTGCTGACTTGTTATTATTTCGTGAATAAATATTCGTATTCGTTACCCTATATTCATTATACGTATCGTATTCGCCTTATAGTGTATTCTTTGCAGCCCTAGTGATGGGTGGTTGTGTGATGGATGGTAGTGTGATGGATGGTAGTGTGATGGATGGTAGTGTGATGGATGGTTGTGTGATGGATGGTTGTGTGATGGATGGTAGTGTGATGGATGGTTGTGTGATGGATGGTTGTGTGATGGATGGTTGTGTGATGGATGGTTGTGTGATGGATGGTAGTGTGATGGATGGTTGTGTGATGGATGGTAGTGTGATGGGTGGTTGTGTGATGGGTGGTAGTGTGATGGATGGTTGTGTGATGGATGGTAGTGTGATGGATGGTTGTGTGATGGATGGTTGTGTGATGGATGGTTGTGTGATGGATGGTTGTGTGATGGATGGTTGTGTGATGGATGGTTGTGTGATGGATGGTTGTGTGATGGATGGTTGTGTGATGGATGGTAGTGTGATGGATGGTAGTGTGATGGATGGTTGTGTGATGGATGGTAGTGTGATGGATGGTTGTGTGATGGATGGTAGTGTGATGGATGGTAGTGTGATGGATGGTAGTGTGATGGATGGTTGTGTGATGGATGGTAGTGTGATGGATGGTAGTGTGATGGATGGTAGTGTGATGGATGGTTGTGTGATGGATGGTAGTGTGATGGATGGTAGTGTGATGGATGGTAGTGTGATGGATGGTTGTGTGATGGATGGTAGTGTGATGGTAGTGTGATGGATGGTTGTGTGATGGATGGTTGTGTGATGGATGGTTGTGTGATGGATGGGTG